TTTGCTGCATAGTCGGCAACCCATAAAAGTACTACTCGTAAAGTAGATTTCGACAAATTTTACTGCAGGTGGCACGGAAATCAGTGATTGACGAAAATTTACTAAAAAAAACTGATACTGCTGTCGGGTGTGCAGCCGGTTATACACGTTTTTAAATGTAAGTAAGTTAATTTTGCGATTTTTCTTCAAAATCTTAAAATACTTATAAAAAAAAAAAAAAAAACTGTTAATCATCGGTTTTCTGACCATTTGGTTAAACTTTTAACGAACCTCGTATTAAATTTCAAAATATTTTGTTTGGTAAAACAATCCACATTAAATTAAATATAAGTTTAAAAACTTGAAAATGTCAAATGCCTATATTAAATAGCTCAAAAATCGCCATATATATTTTGAAATTTTTATCAGGTCTAGGAAACACTAATATAAGTATTTTGTAAGTATTCCAGGTCTCGATAATTACTTGTAATGGTGTTGTAAAAACAAACTAATATCGAAAATAAATTAAATTTGAATTTAAATTTTATACAATTTTTCCAGTTATTTCCGATTTTTACGAAAACTGCTTGGAAAATGAATTAACTTTCTCAATGCACAGACTAGATACGAAATGATTTGAAAAAAAATGTCTCTTGTCATTGTTAAATCGGAGAAAGATTTCTGGTAGAGGAATTGTAATAAACGGATGGTATACAGAGAATGAAATTCGCATGCATTGTAGTAAAATCGATAACTAAAAACAAATATCAAAATGTCGACTTAAAAAGTATCGCTGGATGACTATTAAACGGAAAATGTATGGTCTTTTTCTTTTTATTTTTTTAATGGATGTAAGCGAGATAGTATTTAATTATAAAATAACAGTGCTGAAAAGCTGTCGAAACGTACACGATTTAACGTAAACAGCCTGCTGCGCCAGATTAATATAAAAAACACAATTTCATCTAAGGAGCGGTGTATCCGTTTGAATAAATATTAAGTTTACAAAAAAGTTACGACTTTTTTTTTTGTTAAAAAAAAAAGACCACTTTAATCTCAAATAACTTTCCATATCGTCACGTTCAAGTAAATTTAAAATCAATATATTACATCCCAATCTCATAAGTATAATGATGTTTTCTTTCATTTCCATAACGAGTGAAAGTTTCAAAATCACGTTGAATGATACATTTTTCTGTTATTTTACGTGAACATAGTGTTGAACTAATTCAGTGATTGAATAATAAAATATACACGTGTGATAAGAACCCGAGACCGTTTTAGATTTTAAGTGGGACGAAGAACGTATTGATTTCGTTATGATTGTTTTATTGATTTTGAAAGCGACAAGGAATGTACCTATTGGTTTTACTATGATGTGTGTGAATTTTGTTTTAACCTGTTGGTTAACTACTTTTCTACTGGAAATCTTGTTTCAATCAAAAAAGTACAAGAGACTTTTTTGTTGCATTTTGGATTTAGTTGGTGCGTTGAGAGGTAATTTTTTTTTTTCTAAGTAGTTTTCAAAATAATTTGACAAACCAGCAAATAACCTACCTAAAAATGGACACATTTACGGTAATAAAAGTTTCATTATTTTCAAACTTTTTTTTTTTTTTGTGTAATTAGATATTAAAAGTAATTTTAGAGACCGGCAATTTTCCCGAAATACATTTTAATGATTTTTTAATTATTTATGTAGGCGTTTGCCATTTTCGAGTTTTTTTTTAGTTTTATTCGGTTTTATGTAGACGAAATTACTTTGAAAGAGCAAAAGTGTTTTTGAAAAAGTAGAAAACAAAATATCAAGCGTATATTATAGTCATTTTTTACAACCATTTTAACACGCATATTCAGAATCCTCGCTCAAGTTCGTACAGATATGAATTTAATAACTTTGTATTCTACATTGCCGGTTGTCCACCTACAACGGTGGCATACCAGTCGGTAGCGCCAGTATTTCAAAAAAAAAAAAAAATTTCTATTTACGAAAGAGAATTTGAATATTTTCGAGTCGATAATTTCGCATAATCATATACTATCATTAGCATTATCATTATATATTTGATATATTTTATAACTCGTACAAATCAAGTACACAATATATCATAATTGTTCTATTGAATATTAATTATTGTAAAAAAAAAAAACATAAGTTATTATTCAAGTGTCTCAAACGTTCCGAAAAAAAAAAAAAAAAAAAAAACATATTTCATCTCGTATACATTAAACAAACAATCGTACCGCGATATGGTATGTGACTAAACAACCGGCGGCGAAAACAAACATAAAACAGTATTACACTGTTACTTCTTTTGCAGAAATTATAATCATTATAATCACTATAGTTTACTATAATTAACCCTTTGATTGTGTGTACGTAATTAAATAGTTCGTGTACGACGAACGGCGTACACTGTTTACAGTAGTTATTGCGAAATAACAATTTTATTATTAATAACTGTTTATGGATATAAATATTTTTTTTTGTTTTTTTTACGACACATATTTTTACGTTGAAATTTACAATAATGATTTGCTAAACAAATTACAGAATATGTTCGTAATTAGGTTGAGAAAAAAAAAACCAATTTTATACGGTAGAGTAAAAGTGATTTATTTTTCAAATGATACATGAATAGTGAACACGAAAATACCAATTAACATACCCATACCGGCCATACCACTTCGAGTATTCTTTGGTTCATTTCCAGTTTTCGCCATCCTTCTATTAAAGAAGCTCCGCAAGAAGACAGACCAAACCTTGCCAGTTAACTTTTCCTCAGTGGCCCCCTCCCGACCGGTGAGAGGATCTCCCGAGTAAATGTAATATTTTGTTATAACATCTATCAATGCAATCGTTTAATTTTTTTTTCTCGTGGACACACTGTATAGCGCGCAGATTCTCGCTCTACTTGGTGTCCAATTAATTTTACTGTGTGTCCAATCGAACACGAAAAACTTGAACCCTAAAAACATGCCCTGCCCTATCCACACTATTTGCTATTATCATCTATAATCAACATATAAATTTTAAAAATAACTTCACTAATTCCGTAGAGCTGATTATGGCCGAGTGGTACCATAACATACTCTATAGCTATAATAATTCCCTTGTTTATATGACTATAGAAAATAATTAGATAAGGAAAAATATACGCGCTGTATACCTATGGTTGTGTGGATAGAACACAAAACGAGAAAAAAAAAACAAAGCATAAAAGATAAGTAGACATTGCCATAGTGCTCGTCTCGACCATTTAAATCTAAATAAACATTGCATAACGATGTCATAATCGTATTCTCTTAATATTTTATATTCGAATAGGTTTATGTACAAACGCACATAACTCTATACATAATAATATGAAAATGTACAAAAAACAAAATAATAATTTAGTATGCCTATGAGTAATAATTATAGCTCTGATAACTATTTGAAAAAAAAAAAAATTATGAAATTTCATAACTTAGGACAACAGAACAATTAAAATCATAATATTGAAATAAGCGAAAACAAATTAAATTAGCTGCACACTATGTTTAGTATTTACGATAATATGTTAATATAGCACAGTGATCTCAAATTACCACACGGGTCATATATACGGGGTGATCAATCTATCGTAACACACTCATTATCTCGGAAACTGTTTTTTCGAAATTTGTCTTAAAAAAACGATTAAGAAACAAGCCGGTCTAAAAATTTAACGTTAACATTATTTTTTGTCACCTTAATTTAGGTGGGGGGGGGGAGACTAGGGACGGCTAGGTACCTACTTTTGATTTTCAAACGGCAACCTGTATTGAAAATTCCATAAACAGACGGTGTAATAGTTAAGAAAAATGTCGGTGTTTAAATTTTTAATTTCCGTCAAACAAAATGTAACAAAATGTTAAGATAGTCATTTTAAAGAGTATATTCTTCTGAACATTTTCACGTATCGACTTTTTGTTTTCATTGATTTCGTGATTTCAAATAATTTTTTAAAATTCCTAAAAAAAATGCGTACAGTCAATTTTTAGTCATAATAACTGTAATTAATCAGCGAATATGACTACAGGCAGTTGCATCATTATACAGGTACATTTCTCTGAGCGGTAAACAATTATTAAAAATCACGGATTTAATAGAAATACAAAGTTAAAACGTTAAAGAAAAATAAACTCTATAAAATGGCCATTTTCAAATTTTTGAAAAATAATAGTATAAAAAGTAATTTTTTTCTTATCAAAACATGAAAAATTAATTGAAATATAAATATTTGTATTCCTCGTCCTTGCGATTAATATATATAAAAAAAAAAACAGCTAATCAGAGTCTTTTTAATTATCTCGGGAGATATTGCAATGGGTATATCTCCGTGGGCCACCCTACATACATGTATATGTATACATATTTATAACAGACACATTGTAGTACAACAGGCAATATTTACGTGAAAAATAGCATTTGTTATGCTTTTCGCACGTCCGGTATAATTGTAATTTCGGTGCATTATACTAGTACACTAATAACACAAAGCAAATGCGGACGGATAAAAATCGAACGAAATCATTTATTATTAGTATTCATTTTTTGACTGTTTGCTCCACGGTCGTGTTCAGCAACAACGAAACTATCGAATACGACGTTTTAATCACCTGAAAATAATAATAACAATTGGTCTTTTATCACGTGTGCCTAATCCGTATGGCCCTAAACGCGTTCGCAGCGATAGGCGATGTTACAGGCGCAATTAGGGCGATGACCGGAGGTGTTTAGCGCCCCCGAATTCAAAACCAGCACCTTCGGGGGGGGAAACCCCCACTAATAAGCGTTTTCATAATAACGCAGGCTGAATATTTCATCCGCGTGTTTCGTCAAATGAGCTGAACAAAATACCGATTTCCTACGGATAATCCGTGTGTACGTGGAAAACAACGTCGTAGTGGTCACGACGAATTTCCACGTGTGAAATCGCCAACAAAAACACGTGGTAGATTGCTTGTCGCGGGGGTCGCGTAAAGTTGATGACAGTCTAGTTGCGCCGGTATGGTCGCCGGTACGGTGGCGACGGTCGGTACTCACTTTGGTCAGCATTTCCAAATTTACGATGAAGGTCGGTGTCAGCTTCGCGACGCGCTTGTAACAAGAGTTCATGTTCATCGCCAACAACACGGTCTTTTTGAATTTCAAATCCATTTCGGTCCAGTTGCTGCCGTACAGTCCGAAATTCACCGCAGATTTCTGGGGGGGGAAAAAAACCAACGGAATATTATCGTTTGCACGGACGGCGTTTAAAACACTACACATTTCGTTACGGTCGGGTTTTTTTTTTTTTTTTTTTACCGCGGTTTCTACGTAGCTGAACGCGTAACAGTAAAGACCCAGCTGAATCGTTATTATCACGTAAGCGGAAGAAAACTTCAAAACCGGCGGGGACACGAGCGAACATCCGGACATGAACATCTTGGGAAATGGAAAAAAAAAAAAAAACACGTGTGATTTCAGTTTTTCATAAGAGACTGTAGTAGGGCCTGACCCGAAGACGTTATTCGAATCCGCTTACCAACAAGGCCAAAAATATCGTTATAATTCCCGAAACCGTACAACAGGCTATCTGTAACAGGACGACGGTTCGAATGACGTCGTAAAAGTCGCCGTACTTCCTAAATGTGAGCGTAGGAAAAGAAAAAAACAATAAAATAAAAATGCGTTATTATTGTACCGTTTTGAAACGCCCGCATTTCACTGCATGATAGTAAGTCAAAACGATAGTCAAGCAATTCGCCCCGTATCGCGATAACAATAATATTCTCGTCGTCCTGTTTCGTTATACTAACTTTACGATTTTTCGATTGTCCTTAATCAGGCAGATCAGATCGCAATAATGTCCGTCCCCTGTAAACAAAAATTGTCCGTTTACGAATTTGTACACGTGTTTACATTGTACAATCCATCCGGGTGTCCAGGTGTCACACCGAATGGGGATCCTGTATAGTATACGAACTTGACGCTTTTCGGCGCCCGAGCGCCTCGTACCCGGCGGCCAGGGTACAGAATTGAGCGTTCAGCGCGAAGCACGTGGTCACCAGGTAACAGTCAAACTGCATCCAAGCAATAAAGTTGCAGAAAAAGAAGAACGCCTCGTACGCGTAGACCACGGACCAGCCGGCCGCCGAGTCGTACACCACGTCGGGCAGCGGCACCCACAGGTTTACCATGCCTATTCGGTATTCGCTGACGGTGCCGTCCAGGTGGGTGACGGACAGGCGTGTGTGGACGAAAAACGGCGCCAGCAGCCAGACGAGCATCACGCAGAGTTGGATCGTGACGGACGTGCGGAGCAGCGCGGACAACTTGGCCCTGCATCTGGACAACCGGGACGGGTCTCTGCGGCCACACGAAGTAAACGCGTACCGGGCCAGGTCCAGCACGACCCCCAGCCGTTCCGCGTCGACCGTCCGCGACAGCAGGTGCGCCTTGAGCGAGCACATTAGCGAAATAGTCACACACAAGAACAGGAACGTGAACCGCTGAAAATCGTTGGACGACAGGTACATGCCCCAGACGTTCAAGACGATCGTCCCGAACATCGTCCAGAAGAAGACGCGCATCGCCGTCCGGTACCGCCTGCCGTCATCACCGCTCAGTGTCTGGAACAGCCCGATCGCTTTGAACAGTTTCACGTCCACCACGGTCCTGTCGTGGTTTTCCGAATTTCCCGCCGTCATATCGGCGATTCCGGCCCTAATCAATAAATGCACAGTAACGATTATTGCTGCGCGTTCTGAAAGAAAGATTGCTCCTGGGTTGCGTGAAACATTTCATTAAATTTTGTTGAATAATAGAAAAATCACAAACGATTCAGCGCAAAGGTTCTAACGCACCGCGGTATTTTGTACGGCACCGAACACACCGGCCACGGTATTGCCGGACCGGCGGACGGTGTGCGCGCGCCGTCATTCTTCGTGCGGTGCATTTAAAAGCCGCGCACGCGGGACCGAGAGGACGTGGCACCGGCACTTACTGTCTCGGTCCGACAACCGGGTACCGTACGAAAAACAACGCGTACGCAGAACAAGTGAAACCGGCTTAATTTCGATTCCAGTACTCGACGTGAAATGCGTTCGGAACAGTCCGGGGGGAACGTCATCGGTGTTTTTTCGAATCGTGAACTGTTTAAAAAAAAAAAAACAAAAAAAAAATAAACAAAGGCTTTCGCGTCGAGCCGCGTATTTTGAACAGTACGAACAGGACGTTCCGTCCGAAACGTTGTACTCTGTACAGCCCGTAATGGGCATTCGTCCCGCGTAAGTGTTGTTCGCGTGTGTCGCCCGGTAGTGGGACCGGGACAGTACGGATGCGGGCGTAACGTCCCCGTGAACGGGCGGACAGGCCCACCGGGACGCCGGGATTTTTCCGGCGGGCCCCGCTACACTTGTGTTGACGAAAACGGGCCGACGGAAAAACGCTGCCATCGGCTAATACGGGCGCCCAAATAAGAGTGCGCGTTACGGTGACATTTCGTTTGACCGGGCCCGGCACCGCGCTTGTGGATTGTGCCGCGGTCGTTTAGCCACGCCGCACGCGCAGCAGGTATCGCGCCCGCCGATCAATTTGGATTTTCGATTCCGGGGTTTTCGGGCGGGTGCGTTTTTGTTCGCGCAAAAAATCGCGCCTGTCCGAACAACTACGGCTCTTGGTGATTCGTCATCATCTACACATTTGTAATTGCCATTGGACAATACGCGCGCATGCCACACACTTCCCGCTGGCGAAATGTTTCGCCCCTCTCCCCCGGGGTAAAATTTCACTTATTTATTGTTATTATTATTATTTTTTTTTTTTTTCCAAACAATTTTCATTATCTGTTGTTTTGTTCAATAACGTATTGCTGTGACACGGAGATGGTTTCACCTATTTGGTCTATAACTTTTACGATCGGTAATCCACCACAGACGGACGCGTAATTTCATTCCCCGTACGCTTTTACGTACGCAACGAGAAAACGATTCCGAGCGGAGTTCAGTTGATAGCGTTGCTTTGTCAACAATATGTTGTACGTCATATTGCGGTAAAATAATTACGTAGGCATTATTTCTCCACACAAACATTTTTTTTTTTTATACGCACAATCGGTTATGAATAGTTTCACTGTTAACAAACAAATTTATAATAATATAATTACACGATACTTATTTACATAATTCATTCAATTTAACTTATTTGTCTTTGTACATAATGCGTACAGCCCGCAAGTACAATCGAGGCGCCAAAAGGCTCCTTAAAGGCCACGGCGGAATAATATACCGTACGAATAAAACATTGTTTACCGGGTACCGCGTATCGATTCACCGATTTGATCACCGACGAGTGTACCGACGCGCATCGACACAATCGTACAATTGCTCTAGCGCGTGTAGCCATGTGCCCGATTTCATTCGCAAACGGTTTGAAATTAAACTGTTCGGTTCTAAATGCTTAGCTCTCGGTTACTTATGTTAAATCATCCGAATACGCCGGTGTTCTCTCCAAAATCCGGCCCGCCGTCAACACCGTCCTTACGGCGGGACAGCGCGGGTCCCGCCCGGGCCTTGGGCCCGGATCGACTACGACTCGCAGCGCAATTGTTTTGCGACTGCACTTTGAAGCGTTTCAACTGGACGTTATTGACTCGGACTTCCCCGGAGCTTTCGGCCGTGTGTCGATCGCAGCGCGCAGTGTTCAACGGTATGGAGCGTTCTGCGTCAACGCGACCTTTGGCTCTTGTTTCGTAGTTTCGCTCGTTTCTCGGGGGGGGGAGGCAGAAAATACCGCGTTCGAATTCACCGCAGTAACTTCCAATATCCTCGCGGGTATTTCGGGCGCGCTTGTTCTCCGCCGCCCTCCGGCTACGTTTATACGAGTAAACGGTGTCGATCGAGCGTTGGAGCTTGGCGGTGCGCCTGTAATTAGCCTTCGCAAATGATATTAAATTATTTTATTGCGCCGGCCCGTCGAGGCGAATTAAACGGCGCTGTTGTTTCCCGGGCATTTCAATTACAGGGTTAAAGATTAATACGCGATTACAAATATCATTTTTCCACTTTCGATCGCCGCCGCAAATCCCCCTAAAAGTTTTACCGTCCCACAAGCGGGTTTTCTATCGAGCCGTTCCGCGAACGCGTCGCTGATTTTAGTTTTGTCAAACTCTCAAAACTCACGGAGTTTCTTATCCGAATCGAAGCTAAAATCTCTCTTAAAAAGCCCTTGATGGTCCTCTTGTTAGGCTAATTTTAGAGTACGGTTCCGTCGTTTGGGATCTTCGTAGACGTTCAAGCAGTTTCAGTGTTTTGGCCAAACTGTCAAACGGCCAAAATGATTCTCCCATCTTACTCTCAAATATTTCCACTCGTACTCAACCTACTCGACACATTATAGTTTTAACGAACCGCTCCACCGCTATGCGTTTTTAGCAAATTTTAATATGTGTTATTTTTTTTTTTTTAATTTATTTGTTTTTAGTTGTACACATTGTTCATTGCTGTAATATTGTATTAATTGTACTATCGTAAATGGGCGTAAAGCCAGTACATTTTGTGAAAAAAAATTAACATATTCCAAAATAAACAAACATGTGGAAATGTTCAATGTTAAGTTATCAATAATAAGTTATCGCGGACTACAGATAAACCGCTGTTAAACGTTTTAACGAGTTGAATTTTATTGGGACCTCTAGTTGGAATTTTACTGGCAATCTTCAATTTCAGGGACCATCATAAATGAACGTCTAATGAAAACTTACCGATTTAGTTTGTTTCCCGGAATGTATCCCGTCCTCTGGACACCCGACGTACGTCTATACTCGATGCAGTCCGGATCAAACAATAATGGACACCCCATAACTTATCCAAAAGTCGGTTGTTATGCATGGAATACACCGCACTGTTTTTTTTTTTTTTTTTTTTTTTATTTTTTTTTTTTTTTTTTTTTTTATAGCAGTTATTTAATATCATTACGACCGGATAATTGTATGTTATTTAATATCATTACGACCGGATAATTGTACATATTTTTCGGCTTTTTTCGGCT